AATTGTCAGCAATAGTGCTTTATTAGTCCCCTACCGACGAAGTCGAAGGGGACTGTAGGTTTGCACTTCATCTGTCTGTCTGTCTGTCCATCCGTCAGTCCGGGAAATCAGTTTTCCACACTTTTTTTCATTATGCTTGAAGATATTGATTTGATAATTGGTATATAGTTTTATCATGACAAGTTACAGATCAAGTTCGAATTTTGTTCCAGTCTGATGATTTTGTGCAGAGTTATGGTCCTTGGACTTAGAAAATTCACTCAAATAATCAGGTTTCCTCACTTTTTTTTCGTCATGCTTAAAGATATTGATTTGATAATTGGTATATAGTTTTATCATGACAACCCATACAGAAAAAATGATAGGATGGCCAACTGCATTGCTCAACTGGCCGCCAGTTGAACAAACAGTTGAGGTCCAGTTGAGGGCTAGCTGGCCATCAGTTGAGCAAATAGTTCAGGGCCAGTTGAGGGCTACCTGGATTTTTGCCATGCAAATTAGGTAGCCCTCAACTATCAAATGCTCAACTTTATGCAAATTAGTTGAGCAAGGTTGAGAAAATATCATAGTTGAGGGCTAGGTGTCCAACAGTTGAGCAATTAGAGTTGAGGGCTACCTGGCCAACAGTTGAGGACCAGGTCATTAAAAGTTGAGGGCTAGGTGGCCAATAGTTGAGGGCCAGGTCATTAAAAGTTGAGGGCTAGGTGGCCAATAGTTGAGGACCAGGTCTTTAAAAGTTGAGCATTACATGTATCTGGTCATTGCAAACCGATGACTACACATTGTAGAAAAAATAAATTTAAATTGTGTATTTTATATAGCCAAAATACTGCTGAAAGATCTTAACACACAACAGACTACATGACGGCTTTATCCTTGCTTTTTAAAGGTTATTATCTAGTAAATAAAATCTAGTTAATCCTGCAGCCATATTAATCTTTATGCAAGGAGAAGTATTTAGATATATATTGAAATACTCAAAACAGAAAGTGTTGTTCAACCAGAAAAAAAAAATTATATATATTTATCTGTCATTTGTATTTGCAGTCATACCCCAGATCTCTAGTTTTATACCAAATTCATTATATTAGAATATTCTTATTTTATTAGTATAATACTTTCTAAAACAAATTGTCTTAATAATAAAATAAATATGTCTCCTGTCTTACACATTTTGATAATATATAAATTAATGCATAAATATATTGTCTAAAATTTTTCTTCACTCTAAAAAGTTAAGAAGACACTTTAAATATCACTATTTTGAACTAAAAGAGCATATACACTTATTCAAAATGGTGGAAATTCTAATCCAATGTACTTACCAAAAGATGTTTCCATAAATATGTGTTAAAACATCAATCTTCCTAAATCCAAGAGTCATGTCATCAGAAGAATACACTGCACTATTCAATGTCAATACAGTTATTTGTAACTTTTTGATCTACATCAATTGTAAAATTCATATTTTATTCATGATAGCTAGAAGATATCTTTGCTTGCCATGTGCATGCTCAAGCCCAGTTAAAATTTTAAATGTTTGAGGTTGTTTAGGGTATTTTGACAGTGTGATCCCTTTGAAATTTGCCCCTAATAATAACTGTTAATTACCTAAATCATGAATATTTGATATATCTTATAATAAAAAAAATACTGTTTGTTTTTTTAATTTATCTTTATGTTATGAGTTATAGTTAAGTTAAAATACAGAAAAATGTATAAAAAGATGTGCTTCCCTTAATTTGGCCTCAAACTCTGTGTACATTTATAATAGTACTTCCTGTCTACTTGCATTATACACAGAGATAAATGGAAACCAGATGGCACATAACATTTATATCACCAGCTCATATTTCTAATTGCTCAACTTTTGCTCAACTATATGAAAAGTTAAACCAAAGATCAATTGCTCAACTTTTCCTCAACTACAAAAAAAATCAAAGTCTGAATGCTCAACTTTTCCTCAACTACAAAAAATTCAAAGTCTGAATGCTCAACTTTTGCTCAACTATATGAAAACCAAAGATCAATTGCTCAACTTTTCATCAACTTAATGACCAGCTTCAGTTGAGGGCCAGTTGAGCGACATCTATCAAACATACAGTGCTTGGCCAGGTTTGAGTTGAGCTAAGATGCTCAACACCTAGCCCTCAACTATTTTGCTTAAAACAGCTAGCCCTCAACTGTCCGCCACATGGCCCTCAACTTTTTTTCTGTAGGGGAAGTTACAGATCAAGTTCAAATTTTGTTCAGGTCTGATGATTTTGTGCAGAGTTATGGTGTTTGGGTTTAGAAAATTCACTCAAATAATCAGTTTTCCTCACTTTTTTTCGTCACTTGAAGATATGGATTTGATAATTGGTATATAGTTTTATCATGACAAGTTACAGATCAAGTTCGAATTTTGTTCCAGTCTGATGATTTTGTGCAGAGTTATGGTGTTTGGACTTAGAAAATTCACTCAAATAATCAGTTTTCCTCACTTTTTTTCTTCACTTGAAGATATGGATTTGATAATTGGTATATATAGTTTTATCATAACAAGTTACAGATCAAGTTTGAATTTCCGTTCTGATGATGATTTTGTGCAGAGCTATGGTTCTTGGACTTAGAAAATTCACTAAAATAATAAGTTTTCCACACTTTTTTTCGTCATGCTTGAAGATATTGACTTGATATTTGTTATATAGTTTACACCATGACAAGTTATAGATCAAGTTAGCATATTGTTCCAGTACAATGAATTTTTAACCGGTAGGGGACTTTGGTATTGCCATGGAATACTCTCAGAATGCTTGTTAATGTTCTTTTATGTCCACACCATATACCTAAATATGATTTGAAATTATTCAAACTACTCATCCAATCTTTCCATGAGTGATTTCCATCACTTTGATTTACCCTGTTTTGTGTTTTGAGCAAAAACTAAAGAAGATAGAGAGAATTTAAACAGACTAAATGATCAGCAAAATAAGTTCAACAAAACAGATTTTTGTCATGAATTCTATTCTCGTCTACAATGTTGGAGAGTGTCCTTTGTTGAATATGCACTAAGACCAAGATGAGCAACACAAACTCTTTAGAGCCTCTAGTTTGCTTACCTTGTTACCTGGTGAGATGCAATAATATTTATCTTGTTGTGTGTCTGTTGAGCAGTCAGGTGTTTAAATGACATCCTACATCAAAACTATTCTGTACAGGTAAATAGTTCTTACATGTATCCCTCTCTAAATCCCTCATTGAAATGGATTTTTTTTATCATTGTCTATTATTCATTAGTTTAGAAACTTATTACATTTATCAGTAGCAATGAAGTTAATTTTTTTTTTGTGTATCAGTGTATGTGATAATAATTTTATCATTTTGCATTTTTTGTGAGATACAAATTAATTACTATGCTCATGCAGTGTCATTTGTATATATATTGTATATTGTAGCATTTTCATTTGAATTTTTTTTATAATGCTAAAGATACAGACAGGCTTTAATTTTTTGTGACTTTTTTTCTAAGGACTAAGTAGGAAAAATTTAATGAGTTGAAGATAAAAAGTAACAGAAAATATTTCACATTTTGATCTCTGCATATTTGACAGACCTGAATTTCCAGAATGTTTGATCGATGTTATCAGGTAACATGAGTCCGTCAAATTTTACCACGTTTGGTTTGAAAAATTATTTTCTACTCTGCAAAAGTGAAGGGTCTTGGGAAATCTGGGAAACCATTTCAAAACAGAAGTAGGTCATAGACATGGGATGGAATTGTAACTTATTTTATAATTACTTTTCGAAATTTCTGGAAATATTTTGCACCAACAAGCACACAAAAAGTAAGAATTTGTATATATAGGCCAATATTTCCAGCCATTAGTGAAAATTTCATGGCAAAATTGGGTCTCGAAGTTGAGAGCAAAATTTTCTCTCAAAATCCAGCTGAAAAAAATAGCTTTAGTTTTCATCAAGTCGTAGGGTATTATAGGCTTCCCAGCAACAATTTAAAATATCCTTTCAAGGTGTCATAATTATTTGGACAAAGCTAAAGTAATCTTCACTTACAATTTTTTGCTATATATTTTATTTAAAACTACGTTTTTCAATAAGGGCTGTTCCATTAAAACATACATGGTACCCAGGGAAGGCACTTTGAAAACGGAGTGACCACCCATAGAAGTGATTTTAGAGTCCTGCATAATTAAAAACCCGTCAAACACAATATTTCGCACCCACCCATAGTGGCAAATTTAAGTTGCCTTCCCTGGGTCCCATATATGTTTTTATGGAACAGCCCTAAATTATTTTGAAGGCATTTATGGATGGATTTTAACAAAACATGTATTGAAAGACGCAGAATCATCTGAATTATATATTTGTTTATTTAGTCATACATTTTTCTTCGGTTTTTGTTATCTCCAGATGTGAACATCTGAATAATATTAAACATTTTAATTTTACCTGAGGTATCCACTATCGTACCAAAGATTTACCAGGCGTTGGTTCACTGTTGCTTGTAATATTGTAATTTTATATATTGAAATAAAAAGCAAATGTCTTGACAAGAAATGAAACTTGTGCTTAAATCATCAACAATTGAAAATGTGCTTAAATTATCAACAATTGAAAATGTGCTTAAATTATCAACAATTGAAAATGCTTTACAACAAACAATGACAAAAACATAAACAAATTAACAAAAAAAAAACCTTTGACAATGTTGCTTCTATTATTATATTAATTCTCCACCAAGCACTTGCTGAGAATATACATGTCACATTGAGGGGAAAGACTGGTGGGCCTGGAGTCAGAATAAAGTGAAGAGTGACATGTTGTTACCTTGTGAACTACCACATTAACAATTCAGCTAAGCATGTTGGCCTAGTAAAAAGCAGAGTTCATATATTCATATCATAATATGTTTTGTCCTGAATATCCATTTAATTTGACACTGTACATTTAACAGCTATCCATCATCATATCATTTATGATAATTTTATGTTTATATTAAGACTGTGATTTACCATATACTGACAACAAGCTAGTATCCAGTAGACATTGTTGTATACACAAAGATGAGAGTGGTACTGTCTGGCTCTGTGATTCAAGGTATGTATGAACTATTGATAACAAAATGAATGCAAAAAACAACATAAATCTTCCTTTAGTTAGATGACCTATTGATTGTTGTTTGCTTAATGTCTAGTATCCAATAGTTCATGCATATTCAGGATGATCTTTCACAATGATTTGAACATGCCAGATTTTCCAGACAGAGATGAAGAACCAACATCAGGCTGCTAGTTCCAGTCCAAATTTATTTCTCCAGAATAAATTGTTTTTATTGATGGTCATAAGATTAAAAGTTTGGTTCCTTCGTTCCCCTTATGAACTTTCAATGTAAAATTATGGAGATGTGGTGTGATTGATGAGACATCCTGACGTCAAAGATAAAAAAACAATGTCTGTACAGCCACAACAATAAGCATAAAACATACTGTATAGTAAGCAGTACATTTATGAAGATTTTGATAATAAAAAGGATTTTCTTTTGCAAAAAAATTCACATACACTTGTTTGATAGTAAAACTTAGTCATTCAAGTATATAAAACATATTCAACCTTTTTTTAGGTTTGAAGTTTCATATGACTTTAAAAAAAATGTAAGATTTATTTAAACATTGCAAGATGAATCCTATCAAAATTCAGAGTCATTACAAATTTAAAAAATTGATGACATAAAATTGAGAATGGAAATGGTGAATGTGTCAAAGAGACAACAACCCGACCAAAGAGCAGAAAACAGCTGAAGGCCACCAATGGGTCTTCAACACAGCGAGAAAATCCTGCACCCAGAGGCGTGCTTCAGCTGGCCCCTAAACAAAAATGTTCTAGTTCAGTGATAATGGACGTCATACTAAACTCCATAACATATAAATGAACTAAAATTAAAAATCATACAAGACTAACAAAGGCCAGAGGCTCCTGACTTGGGACAGGCGCAAAAATGCGGCGGGGTTAAACATGTTTTGTGAGATCTCAACCCTCCCCCTATACCTCTAGCCAATGTAGAAAAAACAAACATACAGCAATACAAAAGAAACTAAGCAAAATGACAATGATACATAAATTAACAAAGGACTACTAGCAGTTACTGACATGCCAGCTCCAGTTCAATTAAACTGATTGAAAGATTATTTCTTCATCATATGAAAATCAAGCACAATCCCTCCCATTAGGGGTTTAGTATCATACCATCATAAAATATATGAGTAGAACATAACCCGTATCATGCCAACAACTGGTTTTAATATAAATGTGTTTATTTCCCATGCAAAGACCCAGGTATGAGTGAATTTATTATTGACAAAAATTTAACAGGACCAGTACATATATAACAGTTATGAACCTTTGTACATCATGTATTGTATTAACATACTGCATTTCATGAATTTGCATTAATAAATTTTTTTCTTTTTTTCTTCTGATCAACAGATTCTAAAATAAAATACAAATTTAGAAAATTCTTTGAAAATAATATTGATTTAAGTAGTTTGATTTTATTTATAATTTAAGCACCAATGGAACACTACTAAATCTGAAAGTGAAGATTTCAAAAGGAAATGTAAGTATAAACAGTGAATGTGAAACAATAAAGCAACAATGAAATAATGATATTGCAATGTAAATCAATATGTATTAAAATTATAATCTATCACAATAAACATGTGTGTACCAGATATTGATAAAATTGAGAATGGAAATGGGGAATGTGTCAAAGAGACAACAACCCGACCATAGAGCAGACAACAGCCTAAGGCCACCAATGGGTCTTGATGTACACTATACTGACATCTGTCCACCAAAGACCAAATGACAGAATCCATAGGTCACCGTATAGCCTTCAACAATATTCAAAACCATTACCACACAGCAAGCTATAAACACCCTGAAATTTCAAATCCAAACAATTAAAACGAGAAAACTAAAAACTTGATTTATGTACATAACAATAAACGAAAAACAAATGTGATGTACAGAGTTCACTGCAATGGTAGAATTGCAGGACTGGAACACAATAAAATGTACCATATACTATTGTGGTGTCTGGCAAAGTACTTTTGATTGCCATCTATTTAATTTGATTTTTCAATTTGTGCTAAACGAAAGATCACTGCAGACAGATACACAAAGACATATTATATAAATTTACAAGACTCTTCGTTCATGGTTCTGACTTAGATTTTAAACTTATCCATATTCTAATCTTATACAATATAATGTTATTGACATACTGAATTATTGAGTTATTTAAGTATGTACTGAAAATGTTGAATTATTCTTTTTTCTTTTATTACCATTTATTAACTTGTTTGCCATTCTTGCAAAACTCATTATTTGAAGTTTATAGTTCTTGAGCCATTGATGGTAACCTTGTAAACCTTCTTTTATTTCAGAAGAAAGAACTACAGCATGGAGATGACTTTTATATTGTGTACAAAAAGGGTGAAGAAGAGAAAAGTAAGCTGGGTTAAAAGCTTTTTATAATCTGTCATATAGTATGGGTGCTTGTACATCACTAAAGATCATATGGTGTCATCTTTATGTTTTTTGTTAACTTGTGTTTAACGTTTTCTGTCTCATTGAGATATACCATGTATACCCTGTACTCATTCATTTCAATCATGTTAATGCTGGGTTTTCATTTACACTTTTTCTGAAGAGTGCAAAAATCCTGCATTTTAGATTTAAAACAAAGAAATTTAAAAAAAAAATCCAATAATTGTTGAAAGAAATTAACATAGTCTTTGTTTTATATTTATTCATGGGTCTTGCCCACCATTTTCATATGCATGTCCTGTGTAACGTCACTTTCAAATTTCAATGTGTACAAACCACTACAAATTAATTAAAACTGGGTAATGAATTAGTCTGGGTAGGGATCAACAGAAACTGATAAAGTTTGATAGTGTATTAATGTTTTTTAACTTCATTTTATATTATATATGTCTTAGTTATACTAAAATTATCTTACACATTGTTACAGGAAGGTTTTATGCACATCTCAACCAATGCAAGTATATGCAAACTGATTTTGTTACATAGAAACTAGAAATCAAATCAGAAAACCAGTTTAAAGTATCATGCTTAATATTTTGAATATTTTAGATGTTGGTTTTGTGTACCAGAGCATGGCAGAACTTGCTAAAGAAGATTCGTCAGAAGCAGAACAAACACAGGAATATGAAACTGATGCCAATATATTGGATGCTACTGTTGCCGGTATGTTTGACGCTTTTCCATTGTTGAGTATAGTTTAGAAACATGTTAATGTTTTTTCGCTAAAATAAATGCTGGGTTACTGTCTCATTTATTTTTCCCCAAATCACCAGTTTATCATATTTTGACAATTGTTTTCATGGTTTTATACAATTTTTCTGATTACTCTAGCAGTTAACGTTGTATGTAAAATTATACTATCAAATGGCAGTTATCAATTGACACAATTGCATGGCATAGGAATAAAGTTATGTCTTATCCCCCTACTTTGTATAGAGGGCTTATAGTAGTTGTTGTTGAAGTTTGTTTATTTATTGGCACTTTGTTATTTTTGACTCCTTCTATTAAAGCAAGTTAGTGGATTCAAATGTAATTTCAGAAAAGATTCTGACAAATTGGCGTTGTGATTTTTTATTGTCGAGCCTGCGACTTTTGTCGCAGAAAGCTCGACATAGGGATAGCGATCCGGCGGCGGCGGCGGCGGCGGCGGCGGCTACGGCGGCGGCGGCGGCGGCGGCGTTAGCTAACTTCTTAAAAGCTTTATATTTTAGAAGATGGAAGACCTGGATGCTTCATACTTTGTATATGGATGCCTCATGTTACGAAGTTTCCGTCAGTCACATGTCCAATGTCCTTGACCTCATTTTCATGGTTCAGTGACTACTTGAAAAAAAAGTTCAGATTTTTTGTAATGTTAAATTCTCTCTTATTATAAGTAATAGGATAACTATATTTGGTATGTGCGTACCTTGCAAGGTCCTCATGCCCGTCAGACAGTTTTCACTTGACCTCGACCTCATTTCATGGATCAGTGAACAAGGTTAAGTTTTGGTGGTCAAGTCCATATCTCAGATACTATAAGCAATAGGTCTAGTATATTCGGTGTATGGAAGGACTGTAAGGTGTACATGTCCAACTGGCAGGTGTCATCTGACCTTGACCTCATTTTCATGGTTCAGTGGTTATAGTTAAGTTTTTGTGTTTTGGTCTGTTTTTCTTATACTGTATGCAATAGGTCTACTATATTTGGTGTATGGAATGATTGTAAGGTGTACATGTCTAGCTGGCAGGTGTCATCTGACCTTGACCTCATTTTCATGGTTCAGTGGTCAAAGTTAAGTTTTTGAGTTTTGGTCTTTCTTTCTAATACTGCATGCAATAGGTCAGCTATATTTGGTGTATGGAATGATTGTAAGGTGTACATGTCTAGCTGGCAGGTGTCATCTTACCTTGACCTCATTTTCATGGTTCAGTGGTCAAAGTTAAGTTTTTGAGTTTTGGTCTTTTTTTCTAATACTATATGCAATAGTTCAACTATATTTGGTGTATGGAAATATTTTATGATGTATATGTCAGTTACGCAGGTTTTATTTGACCTTGACCTCATTTTCAAGGTTCATTGCTCAGTGTTAAGTTTTTGTGTTTTCGTCTGTTTTTCTTAAACTATAAGCAATAGGTCAACTATATTTGTTGTATGGAAGAATTGTTAGCTGTACATGCCTGCCTAGCATGGTTCATCTGACCTTGACCTCATTTTCATGGTTCATTGGTCAATGTTTAGTTTACTTGGTTAAAGTTAAGTTTATGTGACAGTTGTAATAAAGCTTTATATTTAGGACTATCAACATAATATCAATGATTAGTAAAGAAGGCGAGACATTTCAGCGTGTGCACTCTTGTTTAACTTTTTTAAATAATGATTTTTCATGTTCCCCAAGCAAAACTTTGGTCATGTCTTTATCATTTTCTATACAAATAGTACAGTAGGAGTTTTTAGCTTCTTTTTATTGTGTAGAATTATTAATTCAAGCTTTTTGTTATATTTACCCGTATGTCTTCTTGTATATTTATGACAGATGTTGATGTTAACTTCCTGGATGATACAGAAGAAGATACACCAGATGATACCAGTAAAAAAAGGCCAAAGGTATTTTTAAGAAGCATGATTAGGAATGTTTTTAGTTTTGAAGCAATTTTCAAAATACAGTATCACCAATCAACTTTATTTAACAGAAATACTGACAAATTTTGTATTAACATGTTTGATTAAGTCAAGGACATCTCAAATGTGAAAAAAAACACTATTATACAAGAAACTGATATTAAATGATATAGCTTTTTAATTAGAAATAGACATCACAAAGTTGTCTGGGCCATATAGTTTTACCCTTTTCCGTCATTCTGCAACAAACCATTATATGCAATTGTTTTCTAAACGCCTTCAGATATTGGGCTGATTTTTGGTATGTGAGTTAACCATGATGAGTTACAGATCAAGTTTAAGTTTCGTTCCGCTCTGCTAATTTTTGCTGAAATGACAGGTTTTGGACTTTGATAAATTGTTGAAAATCACAGTTATACGGTGTTTTTTTTCTATACACCTTCAGATATTTGGCTGATTTTTTGGTATGGGAGTTAACCCTGATGAGTTACAGATCAAGTTTCAGTTTCGTTCCGCTCTGCTAATATTTGCTGAAATTAAGGACTTTGGTCTTGATAAATTGTGGAAAATCACAGTTATCAGGACTTTTTTTCTAATTACCTTCAGATATTGGGCTGATTTTTGTCTTGCCTTGACAGAGTCAAAAAGCAAGACATAGGTATGCTGTTTCCGGCGTCGATGGCGGCGGCGGCGTCAACAATGTATTAGTTTGTGATTAGGTCTAGTTCATGGTGAACCACTAGTGGTAGGTCAATGATATTTGGTATGCAGTTGTATTAGCATTGGCACATCTCATTACTATGGAGATTATTTGGCCCCGCCCCCTCAGTCAAGGTCTATTGACTTTGAAACTTTTCATAGTTTACATGTATTAGTTTGTGATTAGGTCAATTTATGGGGAACCACTAGTAGAAGGTCAATGATATTTGGTATGCAGTTGTATAAGCATTAGCATATCTCATTTCCATGGAGATTATTTGGCTCCGCCCCCTTAGTCATGGTCTATAGACTTTGAAAATTTTGCTAAGTTTACATGTATTAGTTTGTGATTAGGTCAGTTCAAGGGGAACCATTAGTGGTAGGCCAATGTTAATTGGTGTTCAGTTGTAAAAGCATTAGCACATCTCATTTCCATGGAGAATATTTGGCCCCGCCCCCTCAGTCATGGTCTATTTACTTTGAAACTTTTGCTTATAGTTTACATGTATTAGTTTGTGATTAGATCAGTTTAAGATGAACTGCTAATGTTAAGTCAATCATATTTGGTATGCAAATTTATTGGCATTTGCGAGTATCGTTTCCATGGAGATTATATAGCCCCACCCCTGATCATGGTTCATTGACTTTGAAACTTTTACAGTTTACAAGTTAATGTTTGTGTTTAGGTTTGTTTAAAGGGAACGACTTATAATAAGTCAATAGTATTTGGTATGCAGTTGTATTAGCATTGGCACATCTCATTCCATGGAGGTTGTTTAGCCATGTACCTTTAGTCATGGTTCATCGACTTTGAATATTTGCATAACTTACATGTAAAAGTATTGCTATTTTAATTTCAACATTTGTATAATCAAAATTACAAAAAAGGCGAGACATATCTCTGTGATAACAGTTTATTGTTATGTGAGTTACCCATGATGTGTTACAGATCGAGTTTAAGTTTCGTTCTGCTCTGCTGATTTTGGCTGAAATTACAGGTTTTGGACTTTGAAAATTGTTGAAAATCACAGTTATGCAGACTTTTTTTCTTTACGCCTTCAGTTTTTGCGCTGATTTTTGATAGAATCATTAAAAAACTTATTTCTTAATGTTTTGCAAAAGTGTGTAGTCTTAAGTTATATAGCAAATGACTTTTGGAAGTGCAAATGTAAAGTGAATGATAAAATCAACTAAATATTTTACCAAAGAGATGACCAGTATTTAATTTTTTGTAATATGCATTTGATATTTCTCACTTACAAATATGTACCCGCTGCATTTGTTTGCACCTATGTATTTCCTTTTAATGGCTGAACAAGACTAATTCATGCATAACCAATGTATAGCTAATGGGTTAAATTGAAGGTCACATGAATACAGATTCAATGAGGTCGAATTATTCACTTGCAAGGGAATAATTGATCAGTGATAATTCTTTGCTCATTTAGACAAAATTGAACCAAATTGGTTGCTAAAAGCGAGTTATTATTTCATTATTGCACTTTTATTAATGATTGAACCAAACAAAATCATATTCATTTTTAGCTCACCTGGCCCGAAGGGCCAAGTGAGCTTTTCTCATCACTTGGCGTCCGTCGTCCGTCGTCCGTTGTCGGCGTTAACTTTTTACATTTTGAACTTCTTCTAGAGAACCACTGAATGGAATGAAACCAAATATGGCATGAATGTTCCTTATGAGGTGCTGACCAAGTGTTGTTACTTTGTAGCCAATCCATCATCCAAGATGGCCGCCATCGGGGGACTTAGTTTAACATAGGACCCTATGGGAAATGCATACAAATGACTTCTTTTAGAGAACCACTGAATGGAATGAAACCAAACATGGCATGAATGTTCCTTATGAGGTGCTCACCAAGTGTTGTTACTTTGTAGCCGATCCATCATCCAAGATGGCCGCCAGCGGGGGACTTAGTTTAACATAGGACCCTATGGGAAATGCATACAAATGACTTCTTTTAGAGAACCACTGAATGGAATAAAACCAAACATGGCATGAATCTTCCTTATGAGGTGCTGACCATGTGTTGTTACTTTGTAGCCGATCCATCATCCAAGATGGCCGCCAGCGGGGGACTTAGTTTAACATAGGACCCTATGGGAAATACATACAACTGTCTTCTTTTAGAGAACCACTGAATGGAACGAAACCAAACATGGCATGAATGTTCCTTATGAGGTTCTGACCAAGTGTTGTTACTTTGTAGCCGATCCATCATCCAAGATGGCCACCAGCAGGGGACTTAGTTTAACATAGGACCCTATGGGAAATACATACAAATGTCTTCTTTTAGAGAACCACTGAATGGAATAAAACCAAACGTGGCATGAATGTTCCTTATGAGGTGCTGACCAAGTGTTGTTACTTTGCAGTAGGTCCATCATCCAAGATGGCCGACAGCAGGGGACTTAGTTTAACAAATGACCTATGGGAAATACATACAAATGTCTTCTTTTAGAGAACCACTGAATGGAATGAAACCAAACATGGCATGAATCTTCCTTATGAGATGCTGACCAAGTGTTGTTACTTTGTAGCCGATCCATCATCCAAGATGGCCGCCAGCAGGGGACTTAGTTTTACATAGACCCTTTGGGACATACATAAAAATGTCTTCTTTTAGAGAACCAATAAATGGAATGAAACCAAACATGGCATGAATGTTCCTTATGAGATGTTGACCAAGTGTTGTTACTTTGCAGCCGATCCATCATCCAAGATGGCCGCCAGCGGGGGACTTAGTTTAACATAGGACCCTATGGGAAATACATACAATTGTCTTCTTTTAGAGAACCACTGAAAGGAATTGAACCAAACATGGCATGAATGTTCCTTATGAGTTGCAGACCAAGTGTTGTTACTTTGCAGTCGATCCATCATCCAAGATGGCCGCTAGGGGGGGGGGGCTTAGTTTAACATAGGACCCTATTGGAAATACATACAAATGTCTTCTTTTAGAGTACCACTGAATGGAATGAAACCAAACATGGCATGAATGTTCCTTATGAAGTGCTGACCAAGTGTTGCTACTTTGTTGCCGATTTACTGTTCAAGATGGCCACCAGAATATTTTATTAAATAACAGGACCAATATTAATCAAAATTTGGCCTCAATCATTTGGGTATCTGTTATGATTTTTATCTATCTTTACATGATTTCTAAAACCAAAGTAGAGTCAGGTGAGCGACACAGGCTCTTGAGAGCCTCTAGTTTTTCATATCTCGTAGCTAGTGCCCCTTTAACTCAATAATTAGGGTATTATAGTTTATCTAATTATATTTTATAGAAAGATGAAGATAAGGATGAAAGTGAACCTGTGAAAAAAATGATGAAAACTTTAGAGGAAAGTAAAATAGACAAAGGTTCTGGTAATACCACAGAAGTGCCATCTGGTGAGAATAAAAAGGAAAGTAAGGAGGATATAAGCAAGGAAGAAGCCTCCAAAATGAAGAGTGGAGCAGGAACCACCACGGCAGTGGCACCAGCTGTAGATGAGATAGAAGAGACATTGATATGTAGTATTTGTCAGGAGATTATGTATAACTGTATTAGGTGAGGACTTGTTTCATATGATATTCTCTGTAGAATTTATTCAACACACTTGCAGGCATGTCTTATTGTTATATGATTTTTGGACCACATATAAGGTTCATTACTGAAACTAAATCATGAATTTGTTACAGTTGATGATGATCATTCACTGCAAATATAAAAATAATGCATGTATTTAAAACTGATCATCACTAACAAACAGGACCAGATTAAATAATTATAATGCTAGTTAAAACAGTACTGTTAAAGCACTGCTATCATAAATGAAAATTCTTGATTTTATGCCCCCACCCTAGCGGAGGGGGCATTAAGTTTTACCCTTGTCTATCTGTACGTACGTCCATCCGTCTGTACGTCCCAAAATTGGTTTCCGTTCTCTAACTTTAGTTTGCCTCAACCAAATGTTATGAAACTTATACACAATGCTTATTACCACAATACACAGATCAATTTTGAATTTTCTTGGCATCACTTTCACCATTCTAGAGTTATGCCCCTTTTCAAATGGAAAAATTGCTGATTTTTTTGTTTCCGTTCTCTATTAACTTTAGTTTGCCTCAACCAAATGTTATGAAACTTATACACAATGCTTATTACCACAAAACACAGATCAAGTTTGAATTTTGGTGGCGTCACTTTTACTGTTCTAGAGTTATGCCCCTTTACAAATGGAAAAATTGCTGAAATATTCATTTCTGTTCTCCAACTATAGTTTGCCTCAAACAAATGTTTTGAAACTTATGCACAATGCTTATTACCACAAAACACAGATCAAGTTTGAATTTTGGTGGCGTCACTTTTACTGTTCTAGAGTTATGCCCCTTTACAAATGGAAAAATTGCTGAAATATTCATTTCTGTTCTCCAACTATAGTTTGCCTCAAACAAATGTTTTGAAACTTATGCACAATGCTTATTACCACAAAACACAGATAAAGTTCAAATTTTGGTGGGGTCACTTTTACCGTTCTAGAGAGGGGCATCATCTGTGTCCCATGGACACATTCCCCATTTTTTTATTTGAAAAAAGAAAGCCGCCAGATACCAAAGGGACATTCAAACTCAGAAGTCAAAAATAAACTAACGCCATGGCTAAAAAAAGAAAAAGACCCAACAGACAAACAACAGTATACAACATAGAAAACTAAAGACCGAGCAACACGAACCCTACAAAAAACGGGGGGTGAAGGGTTTTGAAATAATTTTTATAAACATTATGGTAAATAAATTATGGTTAAAGTATCAAAACAATAGATACCTAGGAACTTATTTGTGAAAGATGGACCTGTGTAAATTAAACATTTTCTTTTTTCACAGCTTACAACCCTGTATGCATTCCTATTGTGCTGGATGTTACTCTGACTGGATGCAAAAATCTAATGAATGTCCTACAGTAAGTTTTTATATAATAAATAAATAATATGATTAGCTCTATTTAGAGTTGGCATGGTATACAAAACATGAACATAACATAAGCTGTATTGAGCTTTGAACCAACATATTGATATTTTCTAATTTAAAATTGAAAGATCAATATACTTGATATACGATTGAATATAAAAACAAAAGCCTTTTTTCAAAAGTATAGACATATCATTCAATTTATGAATAACGTAATGTTGGAGATTTAAGTTTTTTTTACTACAGTAACGTAGAAACAGTCAAATTTCTCAATTCTTTTCTTGAAGAACAAAGCCAAAGTTTAGACTCGGAATAACATGTTTCACAATTTATACTGCATCTTAAAAATACTATTCATAATCCAAATATAAACATTTAATACAGATCTAAAATGAATGAAAAACAAACTGTTTCAAAAATATAGATAAAGGTTTTTGATAATTAAAAAGTAAATCCATTATTTTTCTAACTCTTGCACTAAAATTAAGTTTGAATTATTTCCCTTTAGTCATAGTAAAAACCATAAAAATGAACAGTATATTTTGAAGTATTCTTTATGCAGAGCATTGTTGATTATTCTTAAATGAGTAATGTTAACAACTTTGAGCAAGGCTTATACTTGTTGTAGCTGTGCCTGTTTTAAATGACAGTTTGTTAGTTGATTATCAGTATGAGATTTGGCTCGTGATGATTTAATTTTTTAAATGATTTATTCTAAACTATTGATTAAAAGTCCTAATTTTTTTTAGGGGTAGGTGGATCCCAATTTTATAGTTTGATGTTAATATCGTGATAAAATTCACAAAATACACAGAGGAAAACCTTAGATCAAAAGAAAGTACTTTTGCTAAAAAAAGTAAAATAACAAAAATACTGAACTTTTAGGGAAAATTCAAAATGATGGAAAGTCCATAATCAAATGGCAAAATCAAATGTTCTAACACATGAAAGTATGGATAATAACTGTCACATTCCTGACTTGGTACATTTATGTAGAAAATGGTGGATTAAACCTAGTTTTATAGCTAGCTAAACCTCAAGAAGTTGCTGGTTTTTTATGATATTTTTTTCCCCCAGTTGCTGTGTGCAATTATTTTATCCTGATATTAAAATGGCATTAAATATTTAATTTGATTTCAACAGACCACTTTTGACTCTAAAGTTGCGATTTATTTTTTAGTGTCGTATGAAAGTAAAAAGAATCAACAAAAACCATATTGTAAACAACTTGATAGAAGCTTATTTGAAAGAACATCCAGGTTTGTATTAAAATAGTTTGGATTTATTTACTTCCGTTGATACTAATTTTTTGTGGATTGAGTAAAATTTACTTTTTCATGAATATTTGATTTCGTGGTTTTGCCAAAGTCCATGTATATTCCTATAGAAAAGTTAAAAGTTGTAATTTGTCAAACATTTAGATTCCTGGTTCCCCTGCACCATCAAAATCAAAATCCATGAAAATTTAAACAACGAATAATAATGAATCCTCTTTATCTGTTTTTATGTGTCTTGGAATTTCAAACTTGATTTTTTGATGAATTTATTTTAATATCACTAAAATACATATAGCAGTTAACATATGGACCTGTCATATACTAAAGTTAAATTTAAACACTAAAAAAGGAAATGAAGAAAAGGATATTTTTAATTGATGCAAGAAATTTATTGCTTTAAAACTATTGGTTTTTAATTTGCTCTGTCATAAATTTCCCCCCTTTCTTGAAAACTTGTGAGTTTAAGATCAGTATTGTGAGTTGGAAAACATATGTAGGAGTATTTTTCCTCTCATGGAAATTTTAGTTATTTCCTTTGAAGGTTGCCGATTCTCACTTCTATTTTGACAAGTTTGCTTATTTATGACAAACAGATTTGTTTTAAAAACCGTAAAGGACGTGATGATTGGGAATTGTTAAATTGGGCTCAGTACATTTAGTTTGTTTTTCTTTAAAAATGGTTTTTTAATGTATGCCAGTATTGTTTTTTTCATTACAGAGAAGAAGAGACCAGAAGAAGACTTGAAAGCCCTTGATGCAAAGAATAAAATTACCAAAGATATGGTAACTTATTTATTTTACCCTAGCTTGATAACTTGATAAATGGAAAGACAAATTGATATAATAGCTAAATTCAACTTTAAATTATACATTAGAAATTTTCTTACTTTATTCTTAAAAAAAAAGAAATCTTTTAAAGAAAGCAGAACCTGCTTGAAATAGCAAATAATGCTAAATATGGAGTATCACAGTACTAAAAACTCAAACTTTATATTTTAAAAGCATTAATTTTATGCAGAAATTCCTGTTCAAATTGGTTTAAGTAATCTGCATTTTTTTATTGTTCAGTATTTGCATTAATAGATGCACCCAATGATTTCTGAATTTGCAGTAATATATTTTGACAACAGTGTTAGATGAATTTTTCTGGTTAGGATGAATACTACTTACAATTTTTTCACTAATTTTAGATGACACCTACGGCCAAAGAAGGTTATGACCCAGATAATGAAGAGGAGGAGGAGGAGGAGGACTATACTGATTCTGATGCTGTAGATGATGAAGAAAGGTAGGTTTTACTTGAAAGGTCATAAACATTATATTGTACAATTCAGTTGTGGATACTAATGTAATCTTTTTTCCTTGACCCCCAAAAATCTTCATAATGAAAAGATTCTAGGTTTTAATAAATGATAAAATAATTTTTGCTCACCATCTAGTGGCTCTCCTTTACAATAAAAAATCAATTTTCATGATTGATAGATGCTAGGTTTTAATAAATGATTAATTTTAATTAACTTAATGTCCAGACTCAAATATTTTATTTATATTTAGGACAATACTTTAATGAAAGTATGAACATATCTTTGCCCCCTCGTGACTTTTTGAGAGGGACATAAAAATACTGGGCTTCCTTCCATCTGTCTGTCCTTCCTTCCATTTCCTTTCGGTCTTCCAAGCGCTCTCACATATACAATTCTTGTCATTTAAAAAAAGAAATTACATCAAAGGTTTATATATGCAATGTCTCAGACAAGTTCGTAAATCAGTGCAGATCAACAATTTTTCAAAGAGTAATGCACATTTTTTTGGAAATATTAATTATATGAAAGATTGCATAAAAATTTTATCAGGACCACCGATAGTGAGAGTAATTCTGTTTTATATTTTGTCAATTTTTAATTTTATTCTCCTCTCAGTCTACAAAGCTTATCATAATCAAATTTTACAGGCATGATGATAGAGAGACCTTGAACAAAGATTTCTAATTTTTTTTTTTATTTGATGGCATATGCAAACGACTTTCAAATTCATGCATTTTCCTGTGCATTTCCTACGTCACAATGCTTATGTTATTACATCACAGTAAGAACTGATTTTTCAATAACATCATTTATGCTGATTGACCTAGGGTCAACCAGTGTAACTCATTCATAAAGGAGAACGTTAAATTGTTTTATAGCCTCACTCATTCATAAAGGAGAACGTTAAATTGTTTTATAGCCTAACTCATTCATAAAGGAGAACGTTAAATTGTTTTATAGCCTAACTCATTCATAAAGGAGATCTTTAAATTGTTTTATAACCTAACTCATTCATAAAGGAGAATGTTAAATTGTTTTATAGCCTTACTCATGCATAAAGGAGAACTTTAAATTATTTTATAGCCTCAATAATATCATTTGTATTCCCATTGAACCATTCAGAAGTCACAGTTCATTCATTTCCGTGAAATTATATAGTCATTCTCATGAAAACTTAACAGAAATAATGTATGACAGAATTAAAAAAGATCCAATTGAATAAAAAATTACTGCCAGAAAAAATTCTTGGTTGTTATTCGTAAATTTTTAGACAGAGTCTCATTTTGTACTGGTGTTAATGCTATTAATTTGATATTGGTTCAAAATTAATTCTACAGGAATTTACTGTTTTATCTTCACCAAAGCAACACAGTCAATCTAAACCAAACTTGGCAGGAATAATGTATGGAAGGTTCTGTATGAGTATTCCTCATTTGTTCCAGTAGTTGGAAAAAATCTGACAACCAGAGGCAATAATCAAACCCTTTCAACAAACCTAAGAGGGGATTGCAGGTTGTCTGTTACAAGGCAAAATTGCCATCTGGTTCCATCATATTCTGTTTTTCCAATGGCAGATCAAATTTCCCACAGACTTAATGTCCTGGGTATTTGATTTATTGTATAATTATACCCCACGCAACGGGTTGCGGAGGGTATAATGTTTTTGACCCGTCTGTCTGTCCGTCCGTCCGTCTGTCCGTCAGTCCTGTTTCTTGTCATCGCAACTCCTCTTAAACCACACAACAGAATTTCAGGAAACCTTTTTAGATAATAAGGACATACTATGTAGTTGTGCATATCGACAGGAAATTGCGATTCAATTTTTTTTCTAGGAGTTAAGCCCCCTTTGAACTTATTTACTTTAATGTACTACTGCAACAGTTTGTCATCGCAACTCCTCTGATACCACACAACAGAATTTCATGAAACCTTTTTAGATAATAAGGACATACTATGTAGATGTGCATATCGACAGGAAATTACTTTTCAATTTTTTTTCTAGGAGTTACGCCCCTTTGAACTTATTTTCTTCAATGTACTACTGCAACAGTTTGTCATTGCAACTCCTCTGATACCACACAACAGAATTTCAGGAAACTTTTTTAGATAATAATGACATACTATGTAGATGTGCATATCGACAGGAAATTACTGTTCAATTTTTTTTCTAGGAGTTACGCCCCTTTGAACTTATTTGCTTCAATGTACTACTGCAACAGTTTGTCATCACAACTCCTCTGAAACCACACAACAGAATTTCATGAAACTTTGTAGATAATAAGGACATACTATGTAGATGTGCATATCGACAGGAAATTATGATTCAATTTTTTTTCTAGGAGTTACGCCCCTTTGAACTTATTTGCTTCAATGTACTTCTGCAACAGTTTGTCATCGCAACTCCTCTGAAACCACACAACATAATTTCATGAAACTTTGTAGATAATAAGGACATTCTATGTAGATGTGCATATTGACAGGAAATTATGATTCAATTCAGGAAATATTTCACATTTGATGTTAAAACAAATATGTCCTCTCTAAAATGAAATAATGGACTTCTGTGGATTAATTAATACTCTTGGAATACTTTGAATTGCGAGTGTAGAGGAAAATCACAAATTTAAATCCTAAACGAAATACAAATTTCATTAATTTTAGGAGAGCAAATGGTGAAACTACAAAATAATGTACCCTCGAAATAATTTTTTTTCTCAATCCACGAAAATTGATACCACAGTTAATTGTTATCTGGATTCTGTACAACACTTGGCAGGAATTGTTTATAAAGAAGGTTGCTACTTAAATATTCTAAGATTTGTCCTGATTGGACCACAAGAATCGGTTAGATACAATTTTAAATTCTAATTGTACTATTTCCAAATTTCTCCTCCTCTGTAATTTAAAATTAAAGGTATGGTTATTTGAATTGGAGTGTTTCAGCAATTATTTTTGTCTGCATATGTAACAGATTTTATTTGCTTCCAACCCTATAACCCACAGAAAAAATTATCATGTGTTATGCAACTCTCCAATATATTTTTTACCAATAGTTATTTTTACAATATTTTCTTACTTTACGATCGATTTTTCTGTTGCAGAACAGTTCCACCTGCTATAGGATTCAACCCACCAGTATTTCCACCAGCACCACCCATGCTTTTTGGAATTGGTACACCATTTTTTGGAGCAAGGTAAGATTATTTACAGTTTACAACAGAAAACTAGTTTTTTTCCCTTGATATTAAAGAATCTCATGATGTCATTCAATACTACACTTAGAATAAAATTAATTTGAAAGCAAGCTTTGATCATGCTAAAATTGTTTTTCTTTGAAGGCTTGTAGCTGTATTGCAGCCATTTTAAAGTCAAGAGCTTCCTTAAAGAGGATACTTGGAACATGCAGCTTGAAGCTTGTTCTCAAGAATGAATATATATGATCCCTAGTAGCTATAGATGTTTTCTACCTTTCATTTTATTACTGTCAATTTATTTAGTTATTTATGTAGTTTTCTGCTTTAAGGGTGTAGGTTTATTTTATCAGCTTATAAGCATTTCTGACATATTTAAAAAAAAAAATGAAAACATTGAAAACTTAATCTCATTAAAATTATATCGTGCAGATTTTTAATAAACAGATAAAATTGAAAAGCATTGTATTTTTATGTAAATATCAATGAACTATCGGAATTTTTTTTAAAAGGTAATAAGTTAAACTGTTAGTTCTATGATCTGCTATCTTTGAATTGACATATGAAATTGTTTTTATATCTTGAAATTTGTTTTTCAGACCAACAGCCACAAAATGTCGCCAGTGTTCAGGTTATGTAGCTCCGCCCACAGTTCCTCCTACAGGTATATTTCAGACAGGTATGAAATTTTAATTTCAGCATGCAAGGTTTTTTCTCTTCTCTAATAATACGTAAAAAGGAGTTAAACAGGACCACCAAAAATACTGAACAGAAGAACAGATCAGATCGACCATTGACAAAATCTGAAAAAAGAGACATACACAGAAATTAAATACAGAATGAACAATACATGTAACAGACAAAGAACAGTTCATCACATATTTTTTTTAGAAATTTTGTCCTGTGTATATTGGCAATACATCATTGATTTATGGAGTACTGTAATGTTCTCAATTCTGCAATGTATGATTTGCTTACAGATTCTGGTCAAATTATGTACAAAATTTAAGCATAGTATTTGGATAACATTTTTTGAACAGCTAAAATATGTGGGAAAAAATTGTTATACAAAACTTTAACATAATTTTTCTCTGCACCTCCTTTCTTAACTAGAGGATCAGGCTACATGATAATGCAATTGTAAGAATGGATATAGAACAGTATAGCTCTCACAAAAATTCATAGAACATAGAAATCTTGTATTATAGGTTTATGCTGAGGTAGATCATTGCACCTTGATCTCAAATACATAGATGTCTTTAGTTTCATCAATAGTGGACACATCACTATAAGAATCATACCACAAGTTGTATACAGGCAATTTTATTATGTTGTTATATAAAAAATTATAGTCATCTATTTTGAGTTGCAGAGTTGGTTTCAATAATTTACTGGAGATGGGTGAATATCTACTTCGATCTTACAACATTGAATATTTCATTTCAGCTATAAATGCTGTAGGCACAGCTTTAGGTTTGAACCAGGGAGGTTACCAGACTACAGGCACAGCCACTGAGAAGAAGGAAGAGGAGGAGTCAGAAGCAACACAATCTCTGGGTGATGGGGCCGAAGCTTCTACCTCTGGTATGAAAAAAAAAGAGATAGGAAGGACATATTTTATAGATTTAACGGAGGGCTATTCCTTTAAAATGGATCTGTGGGGATAGGAAAAACTAATACAACAAAAATACCAAACTCCAAGGAAAATTCAAAATAGAAAGTCCCTTAACAATGGGCAAAATGAAAAGCTGAAACACATCAAACAAATGGAAATCAACTGTCATATTCCTGACTTGGTACAGGCATTTCCTTATGTAGAAAATGGTGGATTAAACCTGGTTTTAAAGCTAGCTAAACCTTTAACTTGTATGACTTTCGCATAAAATTCCATTATATTGACAACAATGTGTGAACAAAACAAACAGACATAATAGGTAAAAATGTCAAAAAGAAATCCCTCCACAATCAGTGCACTGTGGATTCATTATATAATTATTATTCGTTGGATACCAATTTTCGTGGATTTTGTGTGTATAGATGAACCACAAATTTAGATGTTCAACAAAGTACAAACTTTCTATAGGCTTGTAAGCAAAATTTTGCAAAACCAAGAAATCAAGTCGAAAATACAATTTTTCCTCAACCAACAAAAATTGGTGCTAACAAAAATAAATGAATTCACAATATTTCTTTTGAGTAATTTTGCATCCATCAAATGGATATACAAGCATTGATTATATACAACCAATTTCCAAAAATAGAAATAAAAATCCTTCCACCCCTACAACAATAATGTAAATGGAATAGCCCAGAGACAAAATCACAGAAGGATTAGAGAATATTACTATACTCTGGTCTGATGAAATCTAAAGTGTTTGAAATTACTTATAGAGCATGCAGTAATTAAAACTTCTGAAAAAACAAATACAAGTCATACACTTTCCGCCAGGTTTTAAGCATCCATTATATTTTAAAATTATTACAAAGATTCCTTGTTTGAAAATTTATGAATATTTTCCTATATTATAGTTTTGTTAAAAAACGTGAAAAAGATATGCATCATAATCTTGTAAACATTTTGGGAGATCATGAAGTACTTGATTTGATCTTTAGAAACCTCTTGAAATGTTTGTTTTTTAAATTTCACTTTATATAAATAGTGATATTCAAAGTATTACCAACATTTCAACAAAAAATTCCTAGACTTTATGAAAGCAGTGTTCTGTCCAGGCCATTTTAGTGTCGCGGCACCAAGACGCCTCAAGTTGTGGTCGCCTCAACTTGAAACTTAGTATACATTTTTAGTATGACCTAAACTTTTCAATTTATATGCCAATAAGATTCATGGTACCAATTTACTGCACTAGGCTGGCATTTTAACACCTAAAATGTCTCATAGGAAGTGATGCTTGATGCAAAAATAATTGAAAGGAAAACCCAATACAAACTTTGAAGAACTGATATAAACGAAATACACCAAAAAGTAGTTAAATCCCTACAAGGAATCAGAGCTATATCAGGGGAAGATACATCCTTAATATAAAATGATTTTCAAAGATTTATGTAAAAGAAAATTTTGAATTGTGGATTTGACTGTGATTTCATAGATCACTGACAATAGAAATGTGATAGTGCTAGCAGGGCATGATTTCTGTGTACACATTTTTTGGTTTAATTTTTTTTCCATTTACAATCATGCGAAATGACTAATTTAACCCATTGAAAACTAGTTGAATCCAAGATATAATTTATCAACATGATGCCGAACAGTTTTCATTGAATTTTTCATTGTAAAATTTAATGAAAAGTTCAAATTATGGGAAAGAAATAAAAAATAAAGAATTGCAGACAACTTTGTAGATGTTAACCTTTGTTTAAAAGTGTTTGGCATTTTAGAATTCAGTTTCACTTCTTTACAAATGAGAAAAATGATAATTTATTATAACTTAGGGACAACAGCTTTAGTTTTTCTCTCAAATTCTCCATTGAAGAATTTATACATACAGTGTGTTTTCTCTTTGTATAAGTAAGATTCTCAATTGTAGATGGCAAAACAAAGAAAATGGCTGACCCAGAACTAAAAGATGAGAAGACCATGCCAGAAGCTCCGCCCTATAACTGCTCGCTTGTTCAGAATCATGTTTTATGTCAGTGTTGTCTACAGCCCATGCCAGACAGAAGAGCCCAGGCAATGAACCCTGCTAACAATATACCACCCCAGCAATGTGAGTATTTTGTATCTATAGCTATATAAACTAAAGTCTAAGCAAGATATACATACTCATGGAAATGACTCTAAAATTATTCTTACCTAATTAGGTTAGTTTATCATGAAGACTGATTCACTGTCCTGTGTGGCTTTATAACAGTAAGGAGATGTGGTATGATTGCCAATGCCACTATCCACCAGAGTTCAAAACAACTGGATGTAAGCAATTATAGGCCACTGCACGGCCTTCATAAATGAGAAGAACCAATACCGTATTGTCAAAACATATATGACAGACATGAACCAACAGCTTTTCACCAGCCATCTCTTCAAGAAATTCCATGAACAAAATATGTGGGTAACTTTTTGTGTCAGAATTTGATAAAAACATGGCAACTAAAAACTTCACATTGGCATCATTTGTGGCAAAATATTTGGAAGGACAACAGAAAGAACCAGGCTAATTGAGTGATTTTTTTCATATTGTTTTGATATCGTCATCATTTATGGTATGTTATCTCTGGCAAGATTTCAAGTTCTCTAACAAGTTGTCTTGATACTTTCTATTAAAATTTTACAAGATTGATTAGAAATTTAAATAGGCAACTTCATCATATGATGATTTGCAAATTTTTATCAAGAAGACTTCTATGATATATTTTTTTAAGTGCCACAGTATGTTTTTGTACAGATTGAAATTTATTCTGAATGCCATAATTTTAAAACAAAAGGCTCAGGAAAAGTCAGTCTTCACCACAAAGTTTAATGCAATTTCAGTTTTTCATTATTAAACATATTTATTAAAGTTAAAAGAAAATTATGCTATATATCTTGTTATGAAGTAAATGTGTTACCTGCACTTTAATATATATCTGTTAATCAGTATAGAAAGATATTCTGGCCTTTTCCGAAACTTTTGTTCCTAGTTTTTGTTTTATCAGTTGAAAATTCTGTTAAATTTGATTGCATATAACATGTGAAAATGTAAAAAAAGGAGATGTGTTATATTTATATCATTGATAAAACACTTGAACAACATAATTTATTAAATTAGGAAATACATTAGATGTCGTCAACAAAGCATTATTTTTTTTACAGGTCAGATTTGTTACAGAGCTTATTGTCATGCCTACTGGGGATGTACAAAGAATGAATGTACAGGTTGTATAGGAAAGTTTAAAGGTAACAATCATTAGACAGACATGGCATCGGGTATATGTATTGTTTTCACAGGTACTCAAATTATCAATAAAAAAGTAGAAGATATTTTAATCAAACTCATCATATATACCAGGATTAAAATTTTGTAAGCCAGATGTACATTTGGTCTACAAAAGACACATCAGTGATGCTTGAATCAATAAAGTTAAAAAGGCCAAATTTAGTTAAAAGAATATTTTCTTTTTTAAAAGTGCACAAAATGACAAATATACTACAGAAAATAGGGATTCAGAAACAATAAAAACTTATATATCGATGGTTTATTTTCCCAGCAATGCTTATGAGAAAGATGTGATTCATAATATAGTGTTATAAACTGGCTGTTTCTGTATTGGCCCTGTTATAGATTCGAGGTTAGCTGTATTGGACTCGAAACTCGAAGAGTCGAGGGCCAATACAGCTGATCCAGAATCTATAACGGGGCCAATACAGAAACAGCCAGTTCATAACACTTTTATTAAATGATTTTAATTCTTCAATTAATCTACCGTAAGCAACTTACCTTAAAGTAGAAGAAGATACAGAAATTCATATCTGAACTTGTCTTTTCGCATTCACGATGGATTTTTTGTCAACATTGTCAGATGTTATTTCTGATTTCTCGTCCAAGTACTTAATCTTGTGCTATTAAAATTCATTTTATCTAACAAATATAAAGTAGCTGGGAAGAATAAATCAGAGAGTTTAACTATTCTTGCTGTAGAATCGTCTGCGTTCTCATAATTGATCAACGGAAATTGAACACTAAAAATAATTTGAAGTCGTACTCGAAAAGGCTGAGAAATATTTCCATTTCAAGACGTTACAAAACACTGAACATCATTTAAACCTTTTTATGATGTTAGGTTCAAATATATGAATACAAATGTATTTTATACATAACGACACGTCCAAAGTTAACTGTTAAGTAAGCTTAGGCGTAAGAAAATTGAAACCGGAAGTGAACATCCCGTATTAGCCCATGGGCTTATACAGGGGCCAATACTGCTTTTTCTGTACTGGTCCCGGTATTGGCCCTGTCCGAAAACCAATATTAACTCCAGATTTATATCGACAGGACAACATCACCAGTATTGCAGTATATGGTTTTATTGTAGATTTAAACTTTGGGAAGAAATGCTTGAATAACCTCATATTAGAAAATGTTTATGAATCCGAAATATTTAAGGTAAGGCATATAATATAACATAAAAAAACTGTTTAAGATCTAGAAGGCAAGGATAAATGGAAGGATATAATCAATACAAATCTTTTATAGATAAAATCAAACTTATATTAAGCAGTCACTCATGGGAAGTTTCAAAAGTGACCTTTGAAAAGAGGTTTCCGAAAATTCCAATCCCCACATTGCGCTTGGCCGGGATCGCTGCAAATTGTTTTAGTGTTTTTAATTGATAGAGTTGTTGTTTTTGCAACTGTTAAGGCTGGGTTTGACTATACTATCAACAACAGATCTTGGATTGCTATCCTTCATCTTGATGCTAGCTGGTCAAGATTTTCTAAGGAGACAATAATGGTATCCATTGTTTTTAATTAAGATGTATTTTTACTTTCTTATTTATATCATCCCTTGTCATCTCCTCTGAAAAAACTGAACCAACTTCCACCAAACTTGGGTCGAATGATCCTTAAGGTATATATTTTGGAAGTATAAAATTAATGTTTTTTGTCTAGCCAGCGACATTTATGTTGTGAAAGCGAGACATAGCGATCCTAGATTCCATTGGCTGCATCGGCGGCGTACACATTTAGGTTCAGTCTGTGGTTAAAGTTTTTATGCCCCTTAGACAAAATATTGAGGTGCATATTAATTTACCGTCTGTCAAGATATAATTACATGGTTTGTCCGGCTATCTTCTCCTACAGTTTTTGAGCTACAGCTTTAATATTTTGAGGGATGTTTCTACACATAATAGAGGTGTGCATGTTCACAGGATTTAGATTTTTTCTAAATATTCTTAAAATGTCAGGTATTTGGACTTAGTCCTTTTTTGGTACTAGTTGCATAAAGAGATCATGGTTTGTCCGGCTATCTCCTCCTACAGTTTTTGAGCTTAAGCCTTAATATTTTGTAGGTTGTTTGTACACACAATGGAAGTGTGCATGTCCACAGGATTTTGATTTTTCTCAAAGTGCCAGGTATTTTGACTTTTTTTTTGGTACTAAAAGTCAGAAAGGGGGATGTTAGATATTCACAAAAACCGGTTGTTGGGCTTCATTTCCTTCTCACTTGCTATATAATTGAAACCAATTTTTTGAACTACTACAGTTTAATGTCCCTAATGTAATAAATAAGATTTTTTAGTATTGTCAAATATTAAACCAATACTGGGAAGTTGAACTTGGTGACCACTAAAACTGGAAAGTTGAAACCTCTTGGCTGGACATTCAGTCAATTGTAGACATTCAAAATAAAAATAAAAGATAGATTATCATACATTGTGTTAAATTTAGAATTTCTTATGGTCAGCAATGAAAGATCTACAAAAATGCCAATACAACTGAAACCATTAGAGGACTCTGTAATGAGTTATTGCTGTTAAATGATAATTTTTGACTACTTTTTTTTTGTATTGTCTATCATCTTGATAACTATAATAGATATGAGGAAACTGTAAACAGCAAAACTAATCAGCAGTACAACATCTACATAATTATGATCACTATGACCAAAACCATTGGATTACACCTTAAGGAGTTATTGTCTTTAAATGATGATTTTTGACTAACAACAACAAAGGAATTTTAGTCCTAAAATTTTGTCTATAATGTTGGAGCACCTGAGATCACCCCCAGTTTTTGGTGGGGTTCGTGTTGCTTAGTCTTTAGTTTTCTATGTTGTATCATCTGTACTATTATTTGTCTATTTGTCTTTTTATTTTTGGCCATGGCGTTGTCAGTTTGTTTTCAATCTATGAGTTTGACTGTCCCTCTGGTATCTTTCGTCCCTCTTTTTGGAGAGAGGCAATTGTTGAAGATGCATATAGATTCAGTTGAGCAACACAGACTGGTTAGAGCCTCTAGTTTACCATTATTTTTGGAAGAAAATCTTTAAAAGTTTTATACTGAATTTAGTATATTTAAAAGGATAAAAATCCATTATTTGATTGTTTGAAATAAATAGAAAATAATTTAAATGAATTTCTATTTTACATTTTTCTTGTGATAATGAGGGGTTCATAATATCTATTTCAATGTTTTTCTGTAGAATTATGTAGAAGCCAATGGTATATCAGTAAAGCAAGTTTTGAGAGAATCCCTATTGAAGTTAGACGCTGGACAATACACTTGTCCTGGTAAGAGTTAGTACCTAAATTAAATTGCTTACAATATTTTGATTGAAATACATACTGTTTGATTAGAAAAACTAGTTTCTTATATTGAATGTATTTGTGTTAGGTTTCATGACCAGACAGGATCTAAGAAAGGGCAGTTATATCTTTTCCATGTTTATTATCCCTGCTTCATTGCCTTGAACAATGATTTGAAGTGTTTGCGTAGGGTTTGATTCATGCTAAAGCGCCTATTGCAAACATGTTCCTGATATATGGTATTATTTTCAATCAATAAAGAAATTTTTTTATGCCCCCGCTGTCACTTGAGGGGGCTTTAAGTGTTACCCTTGTACGTATGTCCAAAAAATTGATTTCTGTTCTCTAAGTTTAGTTTGCCTCAACTAAATGTTATGAAAGTTATACACAATGCTTATTACCACAAAATACAGATTAAGTTCTAATTTGGGTGGTGTCACTTTACCGTTCTCAAGTTATGCCCCTTTATAATGTTAGACACAAGCGGGGGCATCATCTGTGTCCATTCTCCATTTATTTAATTTTTTTAAGTGTTAAATGAAACTATACTGAAACAACACTATTATCTTAATTTTTGACTAAACAAACTTAGAAGGGAAAAAAGAAAGCTGCATTCATTAGATGGAGTAAGAAACGAGCTTGAGTGAGAACCTCACTGCATTGTCTAACAAAATTAGTATGGACACAGACTTAACTTATTGTATACAAATATATATATATTATGTATGTATCAAGCAAGACATATTTCATCTTATACATTTAGTTGATTTAAATTGAAGTGTTAATGTCTAAAATTCTGACTAGTAATATTCAGTTTAGCACAGCTTTTATGTTACAAAGTAATAGTGTTGAATTCTTTTTTTGAAGACCAGTCAAGATTTACGATAAATTCCAACACTGCCTTGTGCTATACTTGTGGGCTGAGAAATTTTAAAGAACTAGCATACCAGTACAGGAAAGATATTCCTAAAGAGGACCTTCCAGGTATGTAAGAAATAAACAAATATACAATTTTCCTTGGAGACAGCCTTGGTGGTTTTGTGGTAGTATGCTAATTTTATGAGCAGTAGATCACAAACTTGTTCAAACTAAAGACTTAAGAAACAATATTTGTTACTCTCCAACAAGCATACCACATCTAGGAATAAGATCAGAGACTGGTTGGCTCCAAGTCAGATAATTGTGTCTGGGTAGGGTGATATGTCTTCGGAATGTATAATGGTGAGCTAGAATCTATCTGAAATATCCAACTAATCTTGATGGTCAATATCCATATAGGATATATTTTTCATATCACAATAACATGTTGTCATCCTGAATATAAATGTAATATTGGCTGATGGATGTTAAGCAGTCATCAATCAATCAATCAATCATATTTTCCAAATACACTTAAGGTAGTACATAACACTACAGGGAGATAACTCTGTAAAAATCGGATGGATTTGGCTATTTTTTTATGTCCTTTTTGGTTTATAGCTCTTTAACATTTTCGGTCCTTGTACATCCTTGGCTTTCAAATATTTGCCTTTGAGCGTTCCTGATGAAGGTAAATCCAGAAAAAGCGTTTCGGACTCATGAAATTTATAACATGTTTTCATATTTTATACAATATTGCACTATTACTTGGCATCCCTTGTGGTCCTTCATCCTTTTTTAAAATCTTATCCTGTGAAACAACCAGAATGTAACTTATAATTATGTTACCAAATTTTTACCATAATATTTTTTAGTGAATCTGTTTTAAAATTGTATCCATGTATTTGATTTATCAACAAACATGGCTACTGTTGCTAAAAATAGAACTTGGGGGTAAATATGTGGTTTTTGGTTTTTATCTCAAAAACCAATGCAGTTGGAGTAATACTACCGAACAAAAAGTAAAACAACAAAAATACCGAACTCAAAGGAAAATTTAAAACAGAAAGTCCCTTAACAATTGGCAAATCAAAAGCTCAAACACATCAAACGAATGGAAAACAACTGTCATATTCCTGACTTGGTACAGGCATTTTCTCATGTAGAAAATTGTGGATTAAACAGGCATTTTCTTATGTAGAAAGTTGTGGATTAAACCTGGTTCTAAAGCTAGCTAAACCTCTCACTTGTATGACAGTTGCATAAAATTCCATTATATTGACAACAGTGTGTGAAAAAAACAAACAGACATAAGGTATAAATGTCAAAAAAAGGGGTATAGCAGTCAACATTGTGTTATAATCTTAATCACTATAAAAACAAACAAATATGTCAACAAAGAAAAACAAAATTTTCAGTAAAATTAGATTTTGACAATTTTTACTTTTGACGATCAGGTATATATATTGTTGTCATTGATTGTTTTGGGAATGACATTTTTATTGTTTATGAACTATCCTTATAATTCCTGTCAAATTTTAATATGTTGTTACTGGTGACAAACTGGAGGTCAAGTTCAATTTTGACAATTTTCACTTTTGCAGTTCGGGAGTAATGGTTGTTGATTGTTTGTGAAACAACTGTTTTATTGTTTTCATGCAATTACTTCTGAACCATTCTTATAATTCCTGTCAAATTTGGTATGTTGTCAATGGTGACAAATTGTAGTCAAGTTCGATATTGACAATTTTCAGGGTTGCTGTTCAGAGTTATGGTTCTTGATTGATTGAAAAATTAGCACTTTATGTTATTTTTGTGCATTTAATTATGAACCATTCAACAATTGCTTTTCAAATTTTAATATTTTGTTACTGATGACAAAAGGGAATTTAATTTTACATTTGCATTTTACAATTTGACAGCTCATTTCTAATTAGTTCTTATCTTACATGAATTTTAGTAAGAGAAAAACTTTAAATAGTAAAAATGACCAACAAAGTAAGATCAACATGAAATGCAATCAAAACCCTCTATGGCACTGGCTAGATGGATATTTGAAAGATGGTATCTGTTCTAAAATAGGTTCAACTACAAATGTACAGTTATAAGAAAAGGAAGATAACTCTAATTCAGAACATTGCCTATATGTGTTCCATTGCTTAATAATATTCAATATCTAATTTTAAGTTGACATTGCGAAATGAATTTAAATCAATATTTGCCCTTCAGTGCTCAAACACACCTTGATTATATTGATGCAGTCACACATTAAAGGAGACATGACACGATTTTTAAATTTTTTTTTTTTATTACATTAATAAATATTAGTCTTAAAACATGTTTTCTACAATTTTGCTGGTCAAAACCTGATAAATCAGCATTTTTCTGGTCAAAGAATCAAGTGCTTGTCAATAAGAATGATTTTTAATTAGATAACGACAACGCGATCCTGCTTACGTCAGTGGTTACAAGCTGGGAAAATGTCTCTTAACTGGATGATGTCGATACACTATGGATGGTAATGACAGCACTTTTCCAGATAACTGACAAACTATAAAAACATTGTGTGTGAAAATAACCAAGAAAAGGATATTAATTCTTCATGCGAAGAGTCCAAAAACGACGATTTTTCAGACAATACTGATTGGATTGTTACCATACATATTTGGTTTGTCTGATGAATAAATTTAATAGACCACTTTCTGCATTTTTTCATTTAAATAAAACTACTTTTTAATCATGATTGAAAATAAAAATTTCTAATTATTGATGATCAAATTGTTCTTTTTATTCTCTCTGTTACGGTGATGTTATAATTATGTGTGCGCCAGAAGCAGAAAAAAAAACGATAGTAAAAGTCAAATTAGGCGTTCGCAAAGTGTCCGCTTTTATTTTTTTTTATTACATAGAGACTTTTAATAGGTATAAATTATCACCAAAAGTTATGCTTATAATTTTTTTGGTTGGAAACCATTCATCACACAAAGGATTTGTATAGTGAAAAATCCTTTATCACACTATTTCTGCATTAGGATATTCAATTTACAATTTTATTACTTTCCCCCTTTTATGTAAACAATTCAATTCAATATTTTATTTACGTCTCACCTAATGTATAAAATTACACAATACAAAACATTTATTGGAGGCTGTTGTTTTAGTGATTAAATGTTGACACCTATAGCATACTTGACCAGGTGAAAGGTAAGAAGGCACCTGTAGTGTGATTTAGTCACGTGTTATGTTATTTACCATTAAAAATCATACATTTCTAAGAAAAACTATCTTATGTTGAAATAATTAATATAGTTATACTACACTTCTAAAGTATGCTATTCCATCCAGACCCTTATAAATCTAACTTCAAATTTAAGGAATTACATAAAGTAAATTCAAATTCACTTATTTCCACCCCCTCTCTTCAAAATATCATTTAGCAATCAATTTGTTTATTGCTATCAGCAAAACGCTTGAGTCCAGGAAAATATTTGCAACACATAATGTTCTTTTTCAAAATATTTTTTTCTAAAGGGGTTCATTTGAATAAATGTTAGATTTTCAATCGGACTGAGCAGGAAAATGTTTACATGTAACATACTTCAGTCTTCGAGAACATGAGTTGCGTATTAGCTGTACTTGGCTTTGATCTAGCTAACAGAATTTGTGGGTTGTCTCTATTGTTTTACGTTAGTGGTTTCTCTACTTCGTACCGATCTTTTGCGTTAGACTGGTTTTTATTGTTCTTATGTACTGCTGTAAGACCACTGTCACACGTTGGGAGGGGGAGAGGGTACCGTAGGCGCTCACAAACATATACCACCGACACATTTTGAATGTGCCTGTCTTAAAGATCAGGAGCATATAGATCAGTTGTTGTTGTTGATTCATGTCTGTCAATTTTTTTCTACGGAAATTATTTTGTTATAAATAAGTTAGTTTTCTCGTTAAAATTGTTTCACATTTTCACGTTGAGAACTTTTATAGCCGAATATACGGTATGGGGTTTTCTCATTATTGGAGGCCGTACGGTAAACGACACTTTCTTCATTTATTATAAAGTTTCCATTTTAAAAAGAAATGTTTTTCATCATCTGAATCTTTACCAACTAAATAGTTGTCAATAATTATATTCGATGTTCAATATAATAAAATTGAGAATGATTTACATTCTTGTATCATTTCCTTGTTTGTTTTTTATGCTTTATGTCTAACAATTTCTTATGAAGTTATAGACTTGCAAGCATACAAGAATATTACTTTTCCATCTCAAGAAGTCAATTAAAAAATGCATCTGTTATAAACCTTTTTATATCTGCATATTCTTAAAAGCAATAAAAATAAGATCTATATACAGGTTGTCTATTAGTTATCAACACGGGTTAGGGTATCTAATTGGTGGTGCATAGGGTATTGTATGGTCGTACTACAGGTATTCATTAAACATATATGATCAGGTAGTTGTACCTGTTTTCTGTACACAACAATAATATATTCCAATCTCACCTGTGCCCTAGGCAAAACCAACATCCAGGATGTACACAAAGAGCTTATGAAGTAATATTGCGTAATAACTATGTCTTATCAATCCCCCATGTGGAGTGACACTTGAAGTTTGCAACTTCAAACGAGACCTGAAATTTTGAAACTCAATCATCTGTACCGTACACCTGTGACCTATGATGAACTCATGGCATGGCACCCGAGACCCCAACTCTGGAATCCTAATGAAAGTGGGCGAAAAGAAGTGTAGTTTGGGCTTGTTAAAAAGTCCCATCTTTACACCTTTTGAGTCTGCGTGTCATTCAAAAAACAGAAAATATCATGTCAATATTCTTTTTAATTATATTGTTGAATCCATTGGCATCACACATAATCATTGTTTATCACTGTCATGCGTTTTGTTGGATAATAATCGAAACTAAATTTGTGCTGTACCCATATGTCAATATGAATGAATGTAACCACTGACGTAGTAGCCTCCTTCTGAGTGACTTCCGGGATGGAAATATGCATATTTGACAGGTCGATAAATCGTTGCATTAAAATCTCATTAAAATACATATTTTCCTAAATAGTTGACACGTATATTGCTATCGATGTATTTTGGGGGAAAGTTAAGTATAAATAAACATTTTGAAACACAAATTGAAAATCGTGTCATGTCTCCTTTAAATGAAAGTCTGATCATTATGATTCATTAGGTAATTATGCATATCAAAGTACTGTAAATTCAGAAATTATTGCGAGGTTTTTATTAATGCGAATAATGCGAGTGAATGATCATCGCAATAATAAGAACTCGCATTCTGATATCTGATACATACATCTGCATGCAGCTTTTCCTGAAATCACAATAATTAATCTCGCATTTTTGTCCATTTTACAAAAATCGCAATAAAAAATGCACGCAATAATTTCTGAATTTACAGTACATATATTTTATAAGTGATTGTTATATTTGATTTGTAAATATCAATGAATTTAAAATGAAGAAAAATAATTATTCTTAACTAGATGTATTTATTTGTTTATACAGAGGATGCTCAAAAGAGACAGGATTGTTACTGGGGTAAAAATTGCAGAACACAGAGAACAAGACCTCATCATGCAAAGTATGTGTTCAAGATTTAAAATATAAATATTAGCAAAATGGGATGAAGGAAAAATGTTGAAGAGCTTTTTTAAACAATGTAACAACACAATGAATTAAGATACTTCTTTATGTGACTGTCCCAATTCAGGAGCCTGTAATTTGGTGTGGTCTTTGGTTGTTGTCTGTCATATTTGTTTTTTGTTTATTGTTTTTCATAAATCCTGCTGTTGGTTTTCTTGTTTGAATTGATTCACATTTTGTCATGTCAGGGCCTTTTATAGCTGATTATACAGTATGGGTTTTACTAATTGTTGGAGGATTTATGGTGAACAGTGTAATTGCTTAAATCTACATTGTTTGGACAGTGAATAGTTGTCGCATTGGAAATTATGCCACATCGCCTTATTTTACTCTATAACTGAAAAAGAGGTCAAGGTAAATCCACCTGTAAATAAGTCTAGCTGCTAATCACCATGATTCATGCCATAAGCTTAAGTTATGAAAGAATTCATCAGTTTAATTTATTGTCTGAAATCAATAAACAGCAAATATATATAAAAATATTTGTTACCAGATAAAGGGTAAGTTTACATTTACAATATTTGATATTTGCTTTTTAGCTTTATGTTCCCCCCTCCCTTAGAATTTTTAGGCTATTTGTGAATATTTAATGCATCTTAACACCATTCTCAAAATATATTTACAAAGGAGTAGGTCCAGTAAGGGCCGATTTTGGCCTCAAAATTCATGTTCATCTAATGAAAGATTTTGGACACTTTTTAAACACTTAAGTGTCTACTTCAGTCGATTCAATTAGTTTATGTGAAAGATTTGAACTGATTTAGTCATTAAAGACGCTCAAATTCAAGCTTAAATAAGAAAAATCTATCAAATATGCCATAATATGTCACTTTTCAGATGGTTTTTGTCAAAAATGAAAGTGGCCCCTTCCATGTTCATTCTCAACCTTTATATATGTTACATATTATCATCAAATACAACTTACATTTAGATATTAAGAATGAACACAAATGCTGCCACTTCCATTTCAGACGGAAACCGTCTAAAAATTAACCAAAATGCTAAAATTTCGAAGATTTCAGTAATTTAGCATGACTTAATGATGCTAGTACCCGATACATGTGCATTGTATTGTCAAAAACAGCCCATATTTATGTAACAGAAGTGTTCTTCTTTCCAATAAATAGCTAAAAATTTACATTTTAACAATTTTGTAAAACTGCTATATTTTGGGGCCAAAAAGGGGTCTTACTGGGCCTACTCCTTTGTGTTATTTTTACGCCCTGCCTACGATTATCTTTTCTGGTCTGGTCCTTCCCATTACAGGTATTTGGTTATGGTAGTTTGAAGTTACGGACACATGAACTTTAAACTTAGTCACATGTTCATTATTTTTTATTTACATGCCAAATTACCTTTTTTTGCCCTGAATTCAGGGTTCACAGAACATTGAATCATGATAGTTTGTGTAGGGCATAATGTCCTATGGACATCAAGGACACATATTCTTGTTCTTTTATACTTTTTCATAGTTTTAAGCATTCATTTTTTGCCATGCAGTTCCTATGAAAAATCTAGAGTCATCATTTACCACCAAAAATTTGAATTTTTGTCTCATCTTTACGGAGTAAAAAAAAAGTGACTTGGGTATATATGCTGTTTTTGTCTAACCATGAAGGAGTAAAAAAGCGAGACTTAGGTCTGCAGCGTCAACAATTCGTTAAAGTTCCTGATAAGGTTCATTCTGTCATGGTTCTATACATTTTTTCATTCTGTCATGGTTCTATACATTTTTGCATAATTTACATGTTGAAATATTTCAAATATTTGGGCCTTGAGCACTGAAGAGACATTTATTGTCCAATTGAGCATCTAGTGCAGTAAAATTGGTAATGTTAATGTTATTGCTATTTTAATTTCAACATTTGCAGTTTCCTATCAAAATTACATAAAGGCAAGACATATCTCTGTGTCAACAGTTTATTTTTCTAAAGCTTGTTTCATACACAATAACACACAGTTGTATAGTATATTTGTCTTTATAACTTTTAAGCTTTGTATATATTCCTCTGAAATAGACTGTTTATGAAAAGAATTCTTCTTAATATGTGAAACAAACATCCAAAAATGACATGCAAACATCCACAAATGACAGAAAATACTGTATAGTGATTGTTTATATTGTCATAGATTGTTATTTTGAAGATTACAACGTTTGATCTTTTTGCAAATGACTTAAACTTTGTGCATTGAACAATAAAAGTACTCTTCACATCAATATTGTTGATTTCTAATGGGTTTGTTTTTCACATTTTATGTGATCCCTTAATGATAGAAAATATCTCCTGCATAAAATTTTCCACATTTACAGTTAAAGTAATTCCTTACAAACTTTTAACAATAAGTTGGTAATGGTGCATAATTTTAATGTTCATCTGTCCATTTGTTTGTACATTGCTATCTATAGAATATGGTTTATCCACCTGACTCATTTTGCTTCTCTCAAACTAGAACTTATTGATCTTAAATGATATTTGTGCATATCTGAAAGGTGCGATTACTATTGGGATATTGTTCTTTTTTCCCAAGGTAACAGGTTGATTAACTTGTATTGTTTTAATGTACATGTATGTAGCACAAATTTGTTTCTTACCCTTTTGATAGTTCAGAAAATATCCATGATAAATGTTGATTCATCTCTTACAAATAGATAAAATTTTCTTCCTTTTCAGGAATTTTAGCCATGTCTGTGATCAGATTAGAACTACATAGAACCAAGAGGACAGAGGAAGTCTTTGTTCAGACTTAACCTATGTAAAAACCAAGAGGACCAAGAACCTAAAAGAAACCTGTGATAAAACAATGTTACCATTTTATGTTTTTGTACAGAAACAGAAAATCTGTGCTGCATTTCACATTATATATTACTTGTAGTTATTTTCGTTAAAACATTGAGAATTGTTGTACTTTAACACATTGTATAATTATTTTTAAGTAGTTTGATTAACAATTTGAACAGTAGTTCTACATCTTCTTTTGACTTGCAAAAAGACATTAAGATTTGCTACAAGTATTTATTCTTTTGCTAAAAAAAAAGGTTATATTCAAAATCTGGTGAGCATTTAGAACAAGATTTGTGCTTATTAAGGATTTTTTTTTGTGTAGAAAAAAACTTTTTTCTGAACTTACCAAACTCACATGGATGTTTGTAATATAAACCTAGATGGTTAAAAGAGATTGTGTTCAGTGCTGCCAAATTATTTTGTTCAAATACTTGTTTTTAATTTAATATTTGAAATACAATTTTTAAATTTCATTAAAAAATGTTGTTTCTGTGTATATGTATTGCAGTGTTTTACATGCTGCATACAACTAATGCCATTTATTTTTGCATATTCTGTCACTGTTTTGGCAATAATAAAAGCAATACAAAAATTTCTGAATTAACAGTACCTTCTTTTAGCTTAGTGAAAAAAAAATTATTAGTCCCCTACCGACGAAGTTGAAGGGGACTTTAGGTTTGCACTCCGTCTGTCTGTCTGTCTGTCTGTCATTCCGGCAAATCAGTTTTCCAGACTTTTTTTTGTTCGTGCTTGAAGATATTGATTTGATATTTGGTTTATTGATTTATCATGACAAGTTACAGGTCAAGTTCAATTTTCACGATTTTAGCTTTTCTCTTTGTTCAGGTTAAGCCCTTTCCCTGGAATTAAATTTTGACGAAATATTTATTAATTAGTAGATTTCTGTTCAAATGGAAATAACTCATTTTTTAAAAGATTAGATTTTTAAAAGACAAAATGACATTTTAGATTCTGTGGTAAATTGTTTGAAGAATTTAGTGGTAGGTTTGTTTGTCATTCTTGAAGATATTGATTTGATTATTAGTTTACCGTTCTATCATGACAAGTTACAGATCAAGTTGGAATTTTGTTCCAGTCTGATAATTTTGTGCAGAGTTATGGTCTTTAGACATAGAAAATTCACTTAAATAATCAGTTTTCAACAGCTTATTTCATCATGCTTGAAGATTTTGACTTGATATTTTTATGTAGTTTACACCATGACAAGTTAAAGATCAAGTTAGAATTTCGTTCCATTTCAATGAATTTGTAACCGGTAGGGTGCTATGTATTGCCATGCAATACTCACAGAATGCTTGTTTACAAAGAATTTTTCACAAAGTTCCAGAAGTTTGAATATAATCTCATGATTATTCATGATTCTGATCATTTATTGAGTCCAGTTTTTAGTGTGATATTTTCTGTAATCATTCAATGGTCAGGAATTGGACTTGTTATCCTTAGGACTATAAATTCAGATATTTTTGGGGTGAAAATTGTGACAGGATAGGTTTTGCAAAAATAGAAATTGGCATTTTATTAAATTTCGATAGCATTATTTCCTGAAATCACAATTATTTTTTGTCCATTGTTCACCCTAGGAACCATGTATGTTTTAATGGAACAACCTTTACCAAAAATACTATATTGATAAATTTGTGAATTCAAAAAAGTGAGAAGGGATTTTCAGTTTCCATTATTTTTTATTAATTGTTACACTCTTCTGTTTGTTAGATATTTAGATATGTTTCATTGTATTTTAAAGATATATAGTTTCCACTAACATGGCACTTAGGATATGTTAATTTGTTTTTGTTTGTTTGCAGAATGACAATTACAGACAGTTTATTGTTTGCCAGATTCTTTATTTAATTGTTGAAGAAAACAGAAACTTTTGATGAAAATTATAGAATGTTGGTATTTTTTCTGATAATAAAAAAATAATTTCACTTTGTTAACAACAATTTGTTGACCTTAAACAGACTTTTTTTGTGTCACTTGTTTTATTTCTGATGGTCATATACCCATATCTCTCTTTAATGAAACTTACATCTGGCTAACCTATCGGTCATCCAATATGGCCACCTTAGAGAAGCTTTTTTACATAGGATCTAATTGGATTATAGGACACTTCAAAACGTCTTCATTGGAATAGGTTGAATGGCGAACAGCAATTAAAGCACTATGCCTTTGTTTTGAGTTATGTTACTTTTGTGTAGGATTTTGTGATATAAATAAATACACTGTATCCATTTTTAGCTCACTCAGTCATATGGATCTTTGAACTATTGCCATCACTTGGCGTCCTTCATTACCATCATCCACCATTCAAATTGCAATTTCTTCAAAAAATCTGCTCTGAAACCCTTAGGATTAATTTCAATTAAATATGGACTGAATGATCTTTAGGCAATCAAGTATAAAATTTTTGTTTGTTTTGTCAACTAGAGGCTCTAAAGAGCCTGTGTCGCTCACCTTGGTATATGTGCATATTAAACAAAGGACAAAGATGGATTCATGACAAAATTGTGTTTTGGTGATGTGATGTGTTTGTAGATCTTACTTTACTGAACATTCTTGCTGCTTACAATTATTTCTATCTATAATGAACTTCGCCCAGTAGTTACAGTGGAAAATATTTTGTAAAAATTTACAAAAATTTACAAAATTTATGAAAAAATTGTAAAAAATTGACTATAAAGGGCAATAACTCCTTAAGGGGTCAATTGACAATTTTGGTCATGTTGACTTATTTGTAGATCTAACTTTGCTGTACATTATTGCTGTTTACAGTTTATCTCTATCTATAATAATATTCAAGATAATAACCAAAAGCTGCAAAATTTTCTTAAAATTACCAATTCAGGGGCAGCAACCAAACAACGTGTTGCCTGATTGGTCTGAAAATTTCAGGGCAGGTAGATCTTGACCTGATAATCAGTTTTACCCCATATCAGATTTACTCTAAATGCTTTGGTTTCAGAGATATAAGTCAAAATCTACATTTTACCCCTATGTTCTATTTTTAGCCATGTCGGCCATCTTGGTTCGCGGGCGGGGTCATCGGACACATTTTTTAAACTATATACCGAAATGACGATTGGGGACAAGTTTGGTTAAATTTGTCTTAGTAGTTTCAGAGAAGATTTTTGTAAAAGATTACAAAAATTTACAAAAAATTGTTAAAAATTGACTATAAAGGGCAATAACTCCTTAAGGGGTCAACTGACCATTTTGGTCAAGTTGACTTAAATGTAGATCTTACTTTGCTGAACATTATTGCTGTTTACAGTTTATCTCTATCTATAATAATATTCAAGATAATAACCAAATACTGCAAAATTTTCTAAAAATTACCAATTTAGTGACAGCAACCCAACAACAGGTTCTCCGATTCATCTGAAAATTTCAGGGCAGATAGATCTTGACCTGATAAACAATTTTACCCCTGTCAGATTTGCTCTAAATGCTTTGGTTTCAGAGATATAAGCCAAAATCTACATTTTACCCCTATGTTCTATTTTTAGCCATGGCGGCCATCTTGGTTGGTTGACCGGATCACCGGACACATTTTTTAAACTAGATACCCCAATGATGATTGTGATAAAGTTTGGTTAAATTTGACCCAGTAGTTTCAGAGGAGAAGATTTTTGTAAAAGTGAACAGACGACGCCGGACGACGACGACGACGACGACGGACGACGGACTCAAAGTGATGAGAAAAGCTCACTTGGCCCTTCGGACCAGGTGAGCTAATAAAAAGGGGTCAAAGGCATAAATTGTATATAATTTCTTGAAACAGATATAGAAAATCTTACAGGGTCAAAATACTCAGAATGTCAAGATCAGACATTTTTCCTGTTTCTACTAATAATAGAGATGACTTCTTTAATGAGTTATTGCCCTTAAATGGATATTTTTTACTAATTTTCATGTTTTTGTCAATTATCTCAAAAACTATAAAAGATGAGCAGAAACAGAGAACAGCAAAAACGATCAGTAATACAAGATCTACAAAAATTCCCATACAAATGAAATAATAGGACAAATTATAATAGGAGTAATTGCCCTTAAATGACAGTGTGTAATTTTTATTTGATATTGTGCCTATCTACAAAAGAATAGAGATAGACAGAGAAACCTTAAACAGCCAACATGATAAGCAATACAATGTCTACTTTTTGTAATGATCAATGTAACAAACAATCAACTATCTGCTTAAAGGAGTTATTGCCCTCAGGTGACAATGTTCATGTTTTTGCTTATAACATTTTATCACAAAAACTATAGTAGATATGGCAGAAACTGTAAAAACCAAATTTGATTAGCAATACAAGATTTATAAAAAATGCTCATATGACCAAAACCATCCACTGCCCTTAAATGGTAATTTGTGGTTAATTATTGCATGTTTGCTTATTAACTGGAAAAGTATATATAATAGATAGATTAAAACTGTTATCAGCAAAATGATCAGCAATAAAAGATTTTTATAAAATGGGGAACCATAAATTGACTCAATATAAGATGTGTGTCCCTCTTAACAATATTGATTATTTTTACAATTTTCAGGGTTTTTTTTTTGTGATGACTTCTTTATTTCGGCACTGCACAAGGTCATGTTTTTCTTCGACTGTTAATAATGTCTTTACACTAAATCCTTTGGATGTAGAATGTGTATTGACTGATACTTTAGTCTAAGATACATGATTTATTTATTAGTTATTATTGACTTTGAACTAGCTGTCAGTAGCTGTGAGTACTCTTAGATCTGTACTTTTTGTCTTTGTGGTTTTTGGGATACGATTGCTGTCATTTACATGTCATGTGATTTACATTAAGAAACAACTCAGATTCTTAACAATGTTCTGTTTTAAAGAATAAAATAAACAGATTGAATTTAAGCAACTTTAAGTTAATTTTCTTCTCATAATCCTTATGTTTCGATATCTCCCTTTTATTTTTGCGTTTATTTTGCAATACCGAAAATCAGAATTAAGCAGTACTTATATTTAGGGTTTTATATATTTACCATCAGGTCAAAGATGGAATTCCGCTGTTTTGTTAAAATGCGAGAGTTGGTCCGATAAAACTATTTCCTTCAAAATGAAGGTGATCATGCTCAGCTTTCTTTAAATATACTAACACGAGCAACACGACGGGTGTCACATGTGGAGCATGTTGACCCCTCTGAAGCACCTGAGATTCCACCATGTTTTTGGTAGTGTTTGTGTTGCACAGTGATTGGTTTACTATTTAGTGTTTCGTATACTATTATTTGTTTGTTGGTCTTTTTTTAGCCATGGTGTTTCAATTATTTTTGACTTATGCGTTTGAATGTCCCTCTGGTATCTTTCGCCTCTGTATTCATGCTATTGGTATCTATATTAAAAAGTTTATCCTTCAAATAATCCTCAAGACTCAATCAAATTACAATTTCTAAAAAGAACAATAACATGATGTTTTGTGAAAAATCAATAAAACTTTAAATTCTGGATAAAAGCTATGTAAGGACATTGACATGGAAACTTATATCTTTTGTAGTGGTTCATTTGGTAGAAAATAAGTTTTGTTTTCAGATCATAGTTGTTTGTTAACACCTGTTACAGATGTAAAATACAAGAACAAACAGCTTTACAAAGACCTTGATATGGACACTGATATATTTTAACTGTTTTATTTGTTTAAAAATAATAGGTTATTTCCAGCTCGTTATTGTATATTTACACCTGTTACAGATGTAAACAGTAAGAAAAAACAGCTATGATAGGATATTGACATGGAAGCTGATTTATTTTTTGTTGGTTCATCTGGTACAAAATAAGTGATGTCCACGTTATAAGCATATCGAGAGAGGTCGTGTATACATCAAATTTTTAAGTCACTCTCCTAACCGTCAAAGTAAAAGGCAGTTAATTCGATATATACTTTCAGATCCTATTTTCCTTATGTTCTGAATTTTGAATAAAATTATTGTCACTTCACTGTATAAACAACTGATAAAGATAAAATACAGCCTCCTTCAAACTGTTTATATCGTGTTTTTCTTTTTAATTTAAACCATACATTCATATTTAGTGTATCAGTATGTTGGTCTTGTCCGTTCACTTGATACTTAAGAAATCATGTCAGAAGAGGTCTGAAATGGGACTTTTTCCACAATCCTTTACTATTTCTACTTGCAATTCAAGTTATTTGTATAAGATAAATAGTTATCAAAGGTACAAGGATTATAATTTAATACTCCAGACGCGCGTTTCGTCTACATAAGACTCATCAGTGACGCTCAGATCAAAATAGTTATAAAGCCAAACAAGTACAAAGTTGAAGAGCATTGAGGACCCAAAATTCCAAAAAGTTGTGCCAAATACGTCTAAGGTAATCTATTACACAAAAGATATTTGTTATTTCTTGAATTTTGAATATGTTAAACATATAAGCATGGAAGCAATATTTGATTTTTATGGGTCTTTGGTTACCATCAGACCCGTAATCAAATGTTCTTGTACTGGTAATATTTTAACAAGCCATTGTCATGACACATTTTTATCTTATTTATTGTAAACTTATGAAAACTAATAATGAAACTCCCGAATGCAAAGTCATCCATAGACGAGTTAAACTTTTTATTTAATCTGGAATTTATACACGAAGGGCATAGAAACTTCTAGGACTAAACAACGATAACATCTTTATACCTAAATATCCAGCCAACGGGGTGTCATGGGCAGGCCAATAATTGTCCATTTTGCAGAGAGAAATTTAATGAAAGAACTTTATTTATTTGGTAAAGAATAAAATCTGTGGAAGCAACAAGTTCATTGAGGAAATTTCTTCGATCAATAAATAACTTCGTGTTGCATTAGCTTGTTGGAGTAATTTTATTCTCTGAGATTTAAACGTGAAACGAAA